TGAAACGCTTGTCCAGGAGGACACTGTGGAGCAAAACACAAACAACAACATAATTCACAGCTTGATTTAATTCCCCCCCATCAACATGATTCAGTCTTGTATCTGTTTTCTATGGTGTCTCCATCCGTCTCTCACCTTCCAGACATGGCTTTGTAGTAGGCAAATATCTGGTCAGCCAGCTTGTAGACAAACTGATCGAAGCACAGGTTCACCTGTAGGAAAAACAGCATAAGTAACTCACTACTCTTGTGGGGATCGGTGATAAATGACTTGTCATTACTTGATTTCTGAGGCGGCCATCTTTGTTTCGTGCTAGTTTACCTCAGCCTCTATCTCATCGTAGAGGAACTGTTTCTTGAACTTGGTCAGAGCGTAGTAGCCACTGTCATTGTAGAGGTCCAGAGGGTACAACACATACCTGGGAGAAACAGGCAGGACGGCATCAGCAGGCACATTAAACACAGACAGACTCAGTATGGACACAATGACAACAGAGAGACAAACAAACACTATCTGTCCGTCGCTTTCCGTCTCCCTCTCCTCCTCTCTTTCCCTCTCCCTCACCCACACACACGCACAGACACACAGGGGTCTAAACAGAGTCTTACTCCATCATGGATGGCTCCTTGGTCTCCAGTATGTGGTCTGTGAGGATCCAGGGCATGGACATCTCGATTGGGAACTGGATCCTGCGACCCATGGTCAGCTCCAGGAAGAACTCTCTGAACCACAGCTGAGACAGGTCACAGCAGTGCTGCAGTGCCTCTGGAGGACAGGAGGGGAATAACATGACATTATATATTATTAGCGGAATAACTTTCTGAACCACAGCTGAGACAGGACACAATAGTACTGCAGCACCTCTACAGGATGGGAGGGGAATAACATTATATTATTATTAGAGGAAGAACTCTCAACCACAGCTGAGACAGGTCACAGCAGTGCTGCAGTGCCTCTACAGGATGGGAGTGGAAATTACAATATATTATTATAGCGCTCCACAGTGGAGGTGTCATAATACCCATAAAACCTAGCAGTCAAACAGTGAAATGGTTCCAATCAATAACCATGTAAATATCTCTTGGACAAGGTGACTTTTGTCAATATATTCGGCTCTATTTACTCTCAGATTCAAAAATGCTAATTAGAATCAAAGAGGCCATCATGCAAAACTACAAATCCCTGAAAGTCATCTCTAGCTGACACCTTTGCTAACAGCTATTGTGTCAAGTTCACAGAATTGTCCATTTAAAGAAATGTATCCAATTTACTGTGGTACTCTATTATAAGAGTACCACAATAAACTGTGGTAACTGTGGTACTCTACTATAATATTATTAGAGGAAGAACTCTCAACCACAGCTGAGACAGGTCACAACAGTGCTGCAGCACCTCTACAGGACGGGAGGTGAATAACATGATATTACGACAGGAGGTGAATAACAGGAGGTGAATAACATGATATTATGACAGGAGGTGAATAACATGATATCATGACAGGAGGTGAATAACATGATATCATGACAGGAGGTGAATAACATGATATCATGACAGGAGGTGAATAACATATCATGACAGGAGGTGATTTACATGATATTATTACAGGAGGTGAATTACATGATATTATTACAGGAGGTGAATAACATGATATCATGACAGGAGGTGAATAACATGATATCATGACAGGAGGTGAATAACATGATATTATTACAGGAGGTGATTAACATGATATTATTACAGGAGGTGATTAACATGATATCATGACAGGAGGTGAATAACATGATATCATGACAGGAGGTGAATAACATGATTTGTGGTCCTCTGTAGCTCAGCTGGTAGAGCACGGCGCTTGTAACGCCAAGGTAGTGGGTTCGAACCCCGGGACCACCCATACACAAAAAAAAAAATGTATGCACGCACGACTGTAAGTCGCTTTGGATAAAAGCGTCTGCTAAATGGCATATTATTATTATTATATTATTATATTATGACAGGAGGTGAATAACATGATATCATGACAGGAGGTGAATAACATGATATTATTACAGGAGGTGAATTACATGATATTACTACAGGAGGTGAATAACATGATATTATGACAGGAGGTGAATAACATGATATTATGACAGGAGGTGGATAACATGATATCATGACAGGAGGTGAATAACATATCATGACAGGAGGTGATTTACATGATATTATTACAGGAGGTGAATTACATTATATTATTACAGGAGGTGAATAACATGATATCATGACAGGAGGTGAATAACATGATATCATGACAGGAGGTGAATAACATGATATTATTACAGGAGGTGATTAACATGATATTATTACAGGAGGTGAATAACATGATATCATGACAGGAGGTGATTAACATGATATTATTACAGGAGGTGAATAACATGATATCATGACAGGAGGTGAATAACATGATATCATGACAGGAGGTGAATAACATGATTTGTGGTCCTCTGTAGCTCAGCTGGTAGAGCACGGCGCTTGTAACGCCAAGGTAGTGGGTTCGAACCCCGGGACCACCCATACACAAAAAAAAAAAATTATGCACGCACGACTGTAAGTCGCTTTGGATAAAAGCGTCTGCTAAATGGCATATTATTATTATTATATTATTATATTATGACAGGAGGTGAATAACATGATATCATGACAGGAGGTGAATAACATGATATTATTACAGGAGGTGAATAACATGATATTATTACAGGAGGTGAATTACATGATATTACTACAGGAGGTGAATAACATGATATTATGACAGGAGGTGAATAACATGATATTATGACAGGAGGTGAATAACATGATATTACTACAGGAGGTGATTTACATGATATTATTACAGGAGGTGAATAACATGATATTATGACAGGAGGTGAATAACATGATATTATTACAGGAGGTGATTTACATGATATTATTACAGGAGGTGATTTACATGATATTATTACAGGAGGTGATTTACATGATATTATTACAGGAGGTGAATAACATGATATTATGATACTGTGAACCATCAGATCCTCCTCTCCACCCTCTCCGAGCTGGGCATCTCCGGCGCGGCTCACTCCTGGATTGCGTCCTACCTGACCGGTCGCTCCTACCAAGTGGCGTGGCGAGAAGCTGTCTCCGCACCACGTGCTCTCACCACTGGTGTCCCCCAGGGCTCAGTTCTAGGCCCTCTCCTTTTCTCCCTATACACCAAGTCACTTGGCTCTGTCATATCCTCACATGGCCTCTCCTATCATTGCTACGCTGACGATACACAACTAATCTTCTCCTTTCCCCCTTCTGATAACCAGGTGGCGAATCGCATCTCTGCATGTCTGGCAGACATATCAGTATGGATGACGGATCACCACCTCAAGCTGAACCCTGGCAAGACGGAGCTGCTCTTCCTCCCGGGGAAGGACTGCCCGTTCCATGATCTCGCCATCACGGTTGACAACTCCGCTGTGTCCTCCTCCCAGAGTGCGAAGAGCCTAGGCGTGACCCTGGACAACACCCTGTCGTTCTCCGCCAACATCAAGGCGGTGACCCGCTCCTGCAGGTTCATGCTCTACAACATTCGGAGAGTACGACCCTGCCTTACACAGGAAGCGGCACAGGTCCTAATCCAGGCACTTGTCATCTCCCGTCTGGACTACTGCAACTCGCTGTTGGCTGGCCTCCCTGCCTGTGCCATTAAACCCCTACAACTCATCCAGAATGCCGCAGCCCGTCTGGTGTTCAACCTTCCCAAGTTCTCTCACGTCACCCCCCCTCCTCCGCACACTCCACTGGCTTCCAGTTGAAGCTCGCATCCGCTACAAGACCATGGTGCTTGCCTATGGAGCAGTGAGGGGAACGGCACCTCTGTACCTTCGGGCTCTGATCAGTCCCTACACCCAAACGAGGGCATTGCGTTCATCCACCTCTGGCCTGCTGGCTCCCCTTCCTCTGCGGAAGCATAGTTCCCGCTCAGCCCAGTCAAAACTGTTCGCTGCTCTGGCACCCCAATGGTGGAACAAGCTCCCTCACGACGCCAGGACAGCGGAGTCACTCACCACCTTCCGGAGGCATTTGAAACCCCACCTCTTTAAGGAATACCTGGGATAGGATAAAGTAATCCTTCTACCCCCCCAAAATTGTAAAGTGGTTATCCCACTGGCTATAGGGTGAACGCACCAATTGGTGAGTCGCTCTGGATAAGAGCGTCTGCTAAATGACGTAAATGTGCCCTTGAGCAAGGCACCTAACCCTAATTGCTCCTGTAAGTCGCTCTGGATAAGAGCGTCTGCTAAATGACTAAAATGTAAATGTAATGACAGGAGGTGAATAACATGATATTACTACAGGAGGTGAATTACATGATATTATTACAGGAGGTGCATAACATGATATTATGACAGGAGGTGAATAACATGATATTATTACAGGAGGTGAATTACATGATATTATTACAGGAGGTGAGGTGAAGGATGATGACTGATGGTGATCAGATGATTGAGGATGGTAGTGTAAGAAAGCATGACCCTGTGTGTGTGTGTGTCTGTGTGTGTCTGTGTGTGTGTGTGTGTGTGTGTGTGTTTGTAAATACCGCTGAAGTTGAGCAGGTGTGTGAAGAAGAAGGAGTGTTTGTGGAAGTCTTCTATAGCCAGTACTATGGGTCCGTCCAGACTGCTGCGTAGAGTCTTCTTAGAACCACTCTTATCGGCTATCAACGACTCCAGCATGGTACGAACCATGTACAGCTAGAGAGGGAGGGAGAGAGAGAGAGAAAAGTCTAAATAACACTTCATATTCTTTCCATTCCCCTACAAAGTCCCTGTACTTGATCATGTCCCTACAGCCTGCCTCTATCCCTGAGCAACATCAGTCTCTTCCATCCCCTCTGATACCCCTCTCTCCCCTCACCCCTCCCTCTCTCCCCTGGTTTACCTGTGTGCTCGAGGGTCCCACAGCTCGGCGGGGCACCTTGATGTCGAACCCTCCCTTGGGGTCCTTCTCCCCCCTGAGACAGGGGTCATTGGGAGGCTCCCGAGCCCCCTCCCAGTCACAGATGGTCTTACGGATGGCCTGCAGGACACTAGAGAGAGACAGAGGGTTATCAGAGAATCAGCATTATAGGGAATGACTATCTGTGCGTCCCAAATGGCACCCTATTCCCTATATAGTGCACTACTTTTGACCAGGGCCCAAAGGGATAGGGTGCCATTTAGGAAGCTACCTAGCTAACTATTGAAGGTCCATGGTTCTTCTGGAGCAAACAGTGAGAATTGTGCCGTATGCACACATGAGCCTTTGAGGGGACTACAGTACCTCTTAGGAGGTTCTCTTGCCCGAAATATGTTAATAGTTGAACAAGAATGAGTGCAGGCAGTTTGGTACCTGATGAGAACGTTCTTCTTCTTGCGTACGGCCTGACGTAGAGGCTCTCTGAGGGTCATCTGGGCAAAGTCCTGCAGGGCTGCATAGATGGTGTTCCTTATAGCCTGGTTGAATACACTCTCCATACGGCCCATCAACACCTACAACACATATAATCATCATCATCATCATCATCAACACCAAAGTAGCCACATTTCGACCAAGACCCACGGTGGTGAAATGCTGCTATATTACTATTCTGTAAGCTTCCCAACGATATCATGACAAAGCTCTCTGTAGGTACAGTGTTTCTGACCTGCAGCCCCTTGATCATGGCGATGACCTCGACCAGGGCAAACTTCTCCTCTGACGTGTAGTTGTAACGTGTAGCTCTCTCATACTCCTCCGCTGTGCCGGGACAGTCCTTGTTACAGAACTTATCTGTCGGGTGAACCAACTTCCAAGAGTACTGAGGGAGAGAATATGGTGTCAGAGGAAACTGAAAATCACAGGACCAGATAGATATAGAATTACTTCATTAATTAAAATTATTTTTATTAAATATGTATGGGACCAAGCACGGACTACACACTACCCCTTCTATGACATAAACCGTGCGCGCGCATGCACACACACACACACACACACACACACACACACACACACACCGTTTCCCTACTCACCACTTCCATGACGTGTGTGCTCCACTTGGACAGCAGCTGTAACCCTCTGAGTGCCAGGTCAAACAGTTCCCTGTACTCCTCGTCTGACTTCTGACTGTCCAAGCCTGACCCGGTCACTACCTCACTGTTACTGTAGCGAGCCAGCTCAGAGATGAACCGGATGTGGTCATCACGAATCTGAACCATCTGCTCACACAGGTTGTACTGGGGAGAGATGGAGCTCTGGGTACACGTCCACCTGTAGGAGAGTCAGGGGTTAGGGGAGGGGTGTCAAACTCCTTCCATGGAGGCCGAAATGTATGCCGCTTTTTGTTCTTTATTTTCAATATGTGTCCTAGACAACCAGGAGAGGGGAGTTCCTAACTAACCAATTAAGACCTAGACAACCAGGAGAGGGGAGTTCCTAACTAACCAATTAAGACCTAGACAACCAGGTGAGGGGAGTTCCTAACTAACCAATTAAGACCTAGACAACCAGGAGAGGGGAGTTCCTAACTAACCAATTAAGACCTAGACAACCAGGTGAGGGGAGTTCCTAACTAACCAATTAAGACCTAGACAACCAGGTGAGGGGAGTTCCTTAATTCATCAATCAAGTACAAGGGAGGAGTGAAAACCCGCAGACACTCAGCCCGCCATGGAATGAGTTTGACACCTGTGGGTTAGGGGCTGGGGTTGAGTTTGACACCTGTGGGTTAGGGGCTGGGGTTGAGTTTGACACCTGTGGGTTAGGAGCTGGGGTTGAGTTTGACACCTGTGGGTTAGGGGCTGGGGTTGAGTTTGACACCTGTGGGTTAGGGGCTGGGGTTGAGTTTGACACCCATGGGTTAGGGGCTGGGGTTGAGTTTGACACCTGTGGGTTAGGGCCTGGGGTTGAGTTTGACACCTGTGGGTTAGGGGCTGGGGTTGAGATTGACACCAGTGGGTTAGGGCCTGGGGTTGAGTTTGACACCAGTGGGTTAGGGGCTGGGGTTCAGGACTTGTTAGAGGTCTGAGTTTATGAGTTTTCAGAGTTTGTGAGTTTAAAGATGGATGATGTTCTTACTTAGACTTGTTCTCCTCGTAGTGAGCGCTGGTCTCTATGTAGCGCGACAGTTCTATCTGCATGTCTCCAAACAGAGGCACCACCTGGAGCTGAAGGCATCAAACAAGACACACACACAGAGAAAGGGCTTCAGTCAGGATAGGAGTGTGATCGAAGAATATCATATTGGTGTGAAAGTATAGACAGGGTTAGATGGCTGTTTTGGTGTGGAGCACACACACACACACACACACACACACACACACACACACACACACACACACACACACACACACACACCGACCTTGAAGAACTTGTCGATCTTTCCCAGGTTGATCCTCTTCTTGGCATCTAGTTTGTAGATGTTACTGACGTTACCGTCCATCAGATAGAGACCAAAACCCATCACCTGACACACACACACACACACACAGGGTGATATTACACAAAGACGGATCAATAATATTTGATGGACATTCAGAAATAACTCTAGATATTCTGAACACTACTGGAAGCTACAGTTGAGGACTGGTTAGCAGGAGTAAGGAGGCTATTAGCATTTTAAGTTCCAGACAGAGACAGGTATCTAGAGAAAGAAGGAGTTAAGATCCAGACAGAGACAGGTATCTAGAGAAAGAAGGAGTTAAGATCCAGACAGAGACAGGTATCTAGAGAAAGAAGGAGTTAAGATCCAGACAGAGACAGGTATCTAGAGAAAGAAGGAGTTAAGATCCAGACAGAGACAGGTATCTAGAGAAAGAAGGAGTTAAGATCCAGACAGAGACAGGTATCTAGAGAAAGAAGGAGTTAAGATCCAGACAGAGACAGGTATCTAGAGAAAGAAGGAGTTAAGATCCAGACAGAGACAGGTATCTAGAGAAAGGCAGGTAAGACAGAGCTAGACGAGGCTCTTACCTTGAGCAGCATGTGTTTCTCGCTGGGCGTCAGGTACATCTTATTCTCATAGTAATCAACACTGATGTTAACGATGTCTGCTAACAACTCCTCATAGCCAGGAATCACCTCCAACTGCTGCTGCAGACACTACAGAGGGAAATATACACACCATTAATGTTACTGCACCACACACACACACACACACACACACACACACACACACACACACACACACACACACCTGAGTAATCCTGTTGTGATTGGCTAGGAACATAGAGAGGTTCTGTGACTCCTGGATGGACTGAGGGTCGGCCATCTTCCTCAGGAACTGAGCCGCCCTGCAGACACAAATATTACCACAGATCTAATTCTGTAGCCATACCTCACAGCTTCTGTTTTACTGAGCCGCCCTGCAGACACAAATATTACCACAGATCTAATTCTGTAGCCATACCTCACAGCTTCCGTTTTACATGAGTCAATTGGGTGCATCTCAATAGTGGGGTAAATTGGCCCTTCACTCTGTCCCTTTTCCTTAATTTGAGCTGATGTGAAGGAACTAGACAGGTGAAAGCAAATTCCCCTTAGCCTCTACTACACTGCTTTCCCCTATCCTTTGTTTTCAGGATCAGTGCAGGTGATAGGGAGAGGAAGCCACTGCAGGCTATTGAGACGCACCCCCATATTGTGTCTGTCTTCCCTCCATACCTTTTATAGGCAGAGTGGTCGTTCTTGACGCTGCACTTCATGTTCTTGAGTTCATCGAGCACAGCGAACATGTTGATGAACTTGCCCAGGGTGAGGAGGTAGGCTTCAGAGACAAAGTCTTTCCTCCGCTCAGCGTGGCACAGACGCTTCACCTCCCCGCAGAAACGCTCGATGGCCTTACGCTGCAGGGGATGACAGGGGAAACGGAGACGACAGAGAGAGAAGAGGTTCTCAGATATATATAGGACTCATTTATTTGTTCATTCATTCGTTAATTATTTAATTCAAGGGACAAGGATATGATTGACTGACAGAGTTCCAATACAAATAAGATACATTCATTAGGTTGTTCATTCATTTGATTAATTCATTAATTCATCCATCAGTCAATGGTCTATCACCTGGAAGTACATGAACTTCATGAGCTTGGTGACCTCTGGTTCCAGCACCTCCACAGTCTTCTCATAGATCTCCACCCTGTTGGGCTGCTCGTTACACTTCACCTGGAGAACACAGGGGGGCGCCGTCACACAGCCTGCTTACTGGAACAACTCACAGGGCTCACCCACATCAGTGTCCCTAGCCAGAATCACAGATCTAGAATCAGATCCCCCTAACTAGAGCTGTGACGATAAACCGAAAATTAGCGACCATACGATCACTTATCACAGGCATTTTGCTGATATCGTTATGATAAGTAGCCTATACTAGAGAAATGTGAAGTTTGAAATGAAATACGTTTTCTAATATGGGTGATTGTTAATGGGACAATTGATGGCTTTAACCATCATACAAGTAGTAGATGTTTAAAGGAGAATTAAAAAAAACTGTGCTGCACATTAATGTTATAAACTGTGGTGCACATTCATGTTATAAACTGTGGTGCACGTTAATGTTATAAACTGTGGTGCACGTTAATGTTATAAACTGTGGTGCACGTTAATGTTATAAACTGTGGTGCACGTTAATGTTATAAACTGTGGTGCACATTAATGTTATAAACTGTGGTGCACGTTAATGTTATAAACTGTGGTGCACGTTAATGTTATAAACTGTGGTGCACATTAATGTTATAAACTGTGGTGCACGTTAATGTTATAAACTGTGGTGCACGTTAATGTTATAAACTGTGGTGCACGTTAATGTTCTAAACTGTACTGCACGTTAATGCTATAAACATTTACATTACATTTACATTTTAGTCATTTAGCAGACGCTCTTATCCAGAGCGACTTACAGTTAGTGAATACCTATATATATTTTTTATACTGGCCCCCCGTGGGAATCGAACCCACAACCCTGGCGTTGCAAACGCCATGCTCTATCAACTGAGCTACATCCCTGCCGGCCATTCCCTCCCCTACCCTGGACGACGCTGGGCCAATTGTGCGCCGCCCATGAGTCTCCCGGTCGCGGCCGGCTGCGACAGAGCCTGGATTCGAACCAGGATCTCTAGTGGCACAGTTAGCACTGCGATGCAGTGCCTTAGACCACTGCGCCACTCAGGAGTATGTTATAAACTGTGGTACACATTAATGTTATAAACTGTGGTGCACATTAATGTTATAAACTGTGGTGCACATTAATGTTACAAACTGTGGTGCACGTTAATGTTATAAACTGTGGTGCACATTAATGTTATAAACTGTGGTGCACGTTAATGTTATAAACTGTGGTGCACGTTAATGTTATAAACTGTACTGCACGTTAATGCTATAAACTGTGGTACTCATTAATGTTATAAACTGTGGTACACATTAATGTTATAAACTGTGGTGCACATTAATGTTACAAACTGTGGTGCACATTAATGTTATAAACTGTGGTGCACATTAATGTTATAAACTGTGGTACACATTAATGTTATAAACTGTGGTACTCATTAATGTTATAAACTGTGGTACACATTAATGTTATAAACTGTGGTGCACATTAATGTTACAAACTGTGGTGCACATTAATGTTATAAACTGTGGTGCACATTAATGTTATAAACTGTGGTACACATTAATGTTATAAACTGTGGTGCACATTAATGTTATAAACTGTGGTACTCATTAATGTTATAAACTGTGGTACACATTAATGTTATAAACTGTGGTACACATTAATGTTATAAACTGTGGTGCACATTAATGTTACAAACTGTGGTGCACATTAATGTTATAAACTGTGGTACTCATTAATGTTATAAACTGTGGTACACATTAATGTTATAAACTGTGGTACACATTAATGTTATAAACTGTGGTGCACATTAATGTTACAAACTGTGGTGCACATTAATGTTATAAACTGTGGTGCACATTAATGTTATAAACTGTGGTGCACATTAATGTTATAAACTGTGGTACACATTAATGTTATAAACTGTGGTGCACATTAATGTTATAAACTGTGGTACTCATTAATGTTATAAACTGTGGTACACATTAATGTTATAAACTGTGGTACACATTAATGTTATAAACTGTGGTGCACATTAATGTTACAAACTGTGGTGCACGTTAATGTTATAAACTGTGGTGCACGTTAATGTTATAAACTGTGGTGCACATTAATGTTACAAACTGTGGTGCACATTAATGTTATAAACTGTGGTGCACATTAATGTTACAAACTGTGGTGCACATTAATGTTACAAACTGTGGTGCACATTAATGTTATAAACTGTGGTGCACATTAATGTTATAAACATATTGTTCTATTCAACGTTATCGCATCAATTCAGGCAATTTATCATAATATTTTAGATTTTTGTCCATGCGACCGAGCGAGAGAGACAGCGATAGAGAGAGAGAGAGAGAGAGAGAGGCAACGAGACGGAGAAAGAGAGAGCGAGAGAGACAGAGAGACAGAGAGACAGACAGACTGAGTCAGAGACAAGAAAAGGGTAACCAGTGAAGAACAAACACCATTGTAAATACAATCCATATTTATTTTTATTTATTTTCCCTTTTGTACTTTAACTATTTGCACATCGCTTTAACACTCTATATAGACATAATATGACATTTGAAATGTCTTTATTCTTTTGGAACTTTTCTGAGTGTAATGTTCACTGTTAATTTTTTAGTGTTTATTTCACTTTTGTTTATTATCTATTTCACTTGCTTTGGCAATGTAATCATATGTTTCCCATGCCAATAAAGCCCTTCGAATTGAATTGAATTGAATTGAATTGAGAGAGAGAGAGAGAGAGAGAGAGAGAGAGAGAGAGAGAGAGAGAGAGAGAGAGAGAGAGAGAGAGAGAGAGAGAGAGAGAGAGAGAGAGAGAGAGAGAGATACCTGTGGTATAGCTCTTGAGCAGCTTCTCCAGGTGTAGAGCATGACAGCGTACTCATGGCCCTCCTCCAGCATCTCATTCTGGGGAGAGAGAACAGACAGAGGGGTTATATTTACGCCTAGTTATAAATGATGTGCTTAACTGTATGGATAAAAGGTAACATTGTGCTGCCCTCTTCATTGACCTGTCAAAGGCTTTCGATACTGCTTATCACTCACTACTAATTCAGAGGCTTTCCTCAATTGGCCTAGACCAGGCTACATGTAACTGGTTGAAAAATTACTTGACAGATAGAACTCAATGTGTACAGTGCCTTGCAAAAGTATTCATCCCCGTTGGCGTTTTTCCTATTTTGTTGCATTACAACCTGTAATTTAAATGGATTTTTATTTGGATTTCATGTAATGGACATACACAAAATAGTCCAAATTGGTGAAGTGAAATGAAAAAAATAACTTGTTTCAAAAAATTTTTAAAAATAAATAACGGAAAAGTGGTGCGTGCATATGTATTCACCCCCTTTGCTATGAACTCCTAAATAGGATCTGGTGCAACCAATTACCTTCAGAAGTCACATAATTAGTTAAATAAAGTCCACCTGTGTGCAATCTAAGTGTCACATGATCTCAGTATATATACACCTTTTCTGAAAGGCCCCAGAGTCTGCAACACCACTAAGCAAGGGGCACCACCAAGCAAGTGGCACCATGAAGACCAAGGAGCTCTCCAAATAGGTCAGGGACAAAGTTGCGGAGAAGTACAGATCAGGGTTGTGTTATAAAAAAATATCCACAACTTTGAACAGAGCACCATTAAATCCATTATTAAAAAATTGAAAGAATATGGCACCACAGCAAACCTGCCAAGAGAGGGCCGCCCACCAAAACTCACAGACCAGGCAAGGAGGGCATTAATCAGAGGCAACAAAGAGACCAAAGATAACCCTGAAGGAGCTGCAAAGCTCCATCACAGTGGAGATTGGAGTATCTGTCCATAGGACCACTTTAAGTCGTACACTCCACAGAGCTGGGCTTTACGGAAGAATGGCCAGAAAAAAGCCATTGCTTAAAGAAAAAAATAAGCAAACACGTTTGATGTTTGCCAAAAGGCATGTGGGAGACTCCCCAAACATATGGAAGAAGGTACTCTGGTCAGATCAGACTAAAATTGAGCTTTTTGGCCATCAAGGAAAATGCTATGTCTGGCGCAAACCCAACACCTCTCATCACCCCGAGAACACCATCCCCACAGTGAAGCATGGTGGTGGCAGCATCATGCTGTGGAGATGTTTTTCATCGGCAGGGACTGGGAAACTGGTCGGAATTGAAGGAATGATGAATGGCGCTAAATACAGGGAAATTATTGAGGGAAACCTGTTTCAGTCTTCCAGTTATTTGAGACTGGGACGGAGGTTCACTTTCCAGCAGGACAATGACCCAAAGCATACTGCTAAAGCAACACCCGAGTGGTTTAAGGGGAAACATTGAAATGTCTTGGAATGGCCTAGTCAAAGCCCAGACCTCAATCCAGTTGAGAATATGTGGTATGACTTAAAGATAGCTGTACACCAGTGGAACCCATCCAACTTGAAGGAGCTGGAGCAGTTTTGCCTTGAAGAATGGACAAAAATCCCAGTGGCTAGATGTGCCAAGCTTATAGAGACATACCCCAAGAGACTTGCAGCTGTAATTGCTGCAAAAAAGGTGGCTCTACAAAGTATTGACTTTGGGGGGGTGAATAGTTATGCACGCTCAAGTTCAGTTTTTTTGTCTTATTTCTTGTTTGTTTCACAATACAAAATATTTTGCATCTTCAAAGTGTTAGGCATGTTGTGTAAAATCAAATGACACAAACCCCCAAAAAATCAATTTAATTCCAGGCTGTAAGGCTACAAAATAGGAAAAATGCCAAGAGGGGTGAATACTTTCGCAAGCCACTGTATCTACTGATGGTGTTAAATCAGGTTTCCTGGATATTACGAAAGGTGTCCTGTAGGGGTCGATTATGGGTCCTGTACTTTTTAATGTTTACATTAATAATATTGACTTGTCTGTAAAAAATTGTAACCTGCACTTGTATACCGATGATACTATTGTGTATGCCATTGCCCCCACGGTTGACCAGGCTCTATCTGAACTACAGTCTGCCTTCATTGTATTACAGAACAACTTTATTGACATTAAATGAGTATTGAATGCAGGTAAAACTAAGTATATGTTGTGGTCTAGAGCACATCAAAATAAGTCTGATGATTTAAGCATATGTACTTTGGATGGTGTCTATATTGATCGTGTTCCTGCTTACAAATATCTGGGCATCTGGATAGATGAAAAGCTTTATTTTAAAAAGCATATATATATATATATATATATATATATATATACATACACATACATATATACAGTGGGGAGAACAAGTATTTGATACACTGCCGATTTTGCAGGTTTTCCTACTTACAAAGCATGTAGAGGTCTGTATCATAGGTACACTTGAACTGTGAGAGACGGAATCTAAAACCAAAATCCAGAAAATCACATTGTATGATTTTTAAGTAATTAATTTGCATTTTATTGCATGACATAAGTATTTGATACATCAGAAAAGCAGAACTTAATATTTGGTACAGAAACCTTTGTTTGCAATTACAGAGATCATACGTTTCCTGTAGGTCTTGACCAGGTTTGCACACACTGCAGCAGGGATTTTGGCACACTCCTCCATACAGACCTTCTCCAGATCCGTCAGGTTTCGGGGCTGTCGCTGGGCAATACGGACTTTCAGCTCCCTCCAAAGATTTTCTATTGGGTTCAGGTCTGGAGACTATCTAGGCCACTCCAGGACCTTGAGATGCGTCTTACGGAGCCACTCCTTAGTTGCCCTGGCTGTGTGTTTCGGGTCATTGTCATGCTGGAAGACCCAGCCACGACCCATCTTCAATGCTCTTACTGAGGGAAGGAGGTTGTTGGCCAAGATCTCGCGATACATGGCCCCATCCATAACGGCGTAGTGTGTTACTAATGGTTTTCATTGAGACTGTGGTCCCAGCTCTCTTCAGGTCATTGATCAGGTCCTGCCGTGTAGTTCTGGGCTAATCCCTCACCTTCCTCATGATCATTGATGCCCCACGAGGTGAGATCTTGCATGGAGCCCCAGACCGAGGGTGATTGACCGTCATCTTGAACTCATCATCCATTTTCTAATAATTGCACCAAAAGTTGTTGCCTTCTCACCAAGCTGCTTGCCTATGGTCCTGTAGCCCATCCCAGCCTTGTGCAGGTCTACAATTTCATCCCTTATGTCCTTACACAGCTCTCTGGTCTTGGCCATTGTGGAGAGGTTGGAGTCTGTTTGATTGAGTGTGTGGGCAGGTGTCTTTTATACAGGTAACGACTTCAAACAGGTGCAGTTAATACAGGTAATGAGTGGAGAACAGGAGGGCTTCTTAAAGAAAAACTAACAGGTCTGTGAGAGCCGGAATTCTTACTGGTTGGTAGGTGATCAAATACTTATGTCATGCAATAAAATGCAAATTAATTACTTAAAAATCATACAATGTGATTTTCTGGATTTTTGTTTTAGATTCCGTCTCTCACAGTTGAAGTGTACCTATGATAAAAATTACAGACCTCTACATGCTTTGTAAGTAAGAAAACCTGCAAAATCGTCAGTGTATCCAATACTTGTTCTCCCCACTGTATAGTTAGTTAGTTAGTTAAGAAGATGAGAATCAAAATCAGCTTCTTCTATAGGTCCTGCCTCTCGCTAAATAGTAGAAAGCAGATTATTCAGTCGACGTTCCTATCGGTCCTAGATAGGCCTGTTGCGGTGACCGTATTACAGCCACACCGGCGGTCACGAGTCATGAAGGCAGTCAAATTCCACGTGACCGTTTAGTCATGGAAATTAGGCTTCTCAAAGCTCTGATGATGCTGATGATCAGCCTACCAAACTTGCTAACTGCCTGGTACCCAGCACTCTATTGTCCCTCACTCTGACATCAAAGCAAATGTAATCGAAAATCTAATCAAACACTTAATGAGAGCCCATGAGCTCATGTTGCACAACATTTCTATAAGCTATGCAATTGCATGAGAAAACAGAGTTTTGATGGCCTCTACTAAAAAGAGGAGGATCCTCTTCTAGGCCCATTATATGTATTCATCAACTGTCCTAATATTAAGCACAGTGCTTCTCTTTACAACAGGAGTATAGCCTACCTGGCTGGCATGAAAATTAACCACAGGAAAAGCATCCTCCATTCGTTATTTAAGTGTATCCCCCATGCCCCTGTTCTGAGACAGGTGCATTATAATGGTCCATTCCAAATCAAAACTAATTTCACACATATATTATTTAGTATATGTAAAGACAACATTAAATCAAGAATTGTGTGATGGGTGATAATATTAGCCTATCACTTGTGAATGATGCTCAGCTTGTGTAAGGCAAGGAAAAGCGCATGCCTTTTTTGTGTGACTTTTTCTAATCATAGTCACACACCTCATGTAGCCTAGCCCATAGGCCTATATGTTTTGATAAGGTTTGTATCACCACTAAAGTGGCCAAATAACTTCTTAAAATTAAGCACACTAATCCGCTTTAGAACCGGTGTGGAGCCTAACTAGCATAAATGCACAGCGCGTGTTTCAAGTTTGGGGAAGATAATTTTCACCATAAAAATGCACCTTCATAATAAAGCATTACATGCATAATCACATTTGCCATCACTTTCAAGAACAGTGTCTTCCCGCTAATTGATTGTGTTTTGGAACATTCGCGCTTATAGCCTACTACCGTGTGTGCATTGCTGCACTTATAATGTGAAGAAATAGCTTAATAGTTTATCAACATTTTAAGCTAAACATGCTGATCTGTTGCATCAGTCTCATTTCTTTAAAAAAAAAAATTATGCGAGTGGTTGTATAAATTTGGGATCTATCACATCCCACAACTGTCCCAGAGTATGTCTGGAATATTTATTTATTGTACAGAAGGAAGTTGACCAATAGAATAGGTCAACTTTTGTACTATGGGGGATAGTAGATTGACATAGGCTAGTGGTTTTGCTGTTCGTTAGGCCTACTCATCTTATTGGCTGAGGAAAGGTAGGCTAAACGTAGACGGTTCTAACATCTTCAATATGCACCTCGGAAATCGATAAGAGGGTCGTGCGCAGTTGCGTCCCCAGATGTGTCTGTTTTCATTCACTTGTAGCCTACTTCTTAGCTGAAATGCCTGTGAGAAGGACCCGATCACGTGACGGGCATTGGCTCTGAGAGAGCCATGTGAGTGCGAGGTGCTTCGGAGCACGACAGCCGGGAATTACAATTATTATGTTCAGGGCACAAAGGCCACTTTGGGCGCAAAAGGCATGTTTTTTTTTAGGGGGCATTACGGCCACACAAGGGGGATGCCGCTGGGAAATTTGAGACCTGGTGAGAATATGATCAAGTGCTTGTCAAATTGTGAATGAGACTGATGAAGTGTGTGCAGCTTGCAACTTTCTTCAAATCATCATTAGAGTCCCATCATGCAGCCTTAGAATGTATTCAAAATCTAAACATAAAGCCCAACATTTGTATCACAACTAACGCTGCATAATAACTCTAAATTAAGCATATAGGAGGACCTGTTTCTTTGTTAAGCGCTCAACACAGAATAGCTGCATGTGTGCACTTCCTTTGAAATCGTTTGGAGAAAATATCCTTTCTATTTTATTAAGCTTTGTTCAATTGTATTCTTCATACTATAAAATATAAAAAATAATGCCACGGAATTCTAAGCAAATCTTGTCTGCTAAATGAAGTAGTGTAGCCCACAGCCATATGGCATAGCCAGATCAGGGCCTAACATAAGGACAACTCAGAACTATTCTGTTCTGAAATAGACTACATTTTCTTCATATCATGTTTCTTTAGACCGGTCTAAATTTATTGTGATGGTGTAGGCTATATTACATGGATTTATTTGACTTGTAGAGGTTCCAAAGGTCTGCATCAGTGGCTTGTAGGCTATGCGTGGAAGCCAGAAGATGCTAAACGTGTCTATATTAATTACATTTCAATTACCGTGAGGCCAGCAGTTATTTGTTGACAATCTCCAGCTAAAAGCTGATTTACTTTTCTTGCACCTTATTTGTGGAACAAATTCAGAAAGCTTATTGAGGACCTTATTACTGATGAATGTGTTTGTTTTTTATGACGTGTTTTTCTTTCTGCTTGTATTTTGTATTTATATTGATGTGTGTATTTTCTGTAATTCAGGGCTCATCTGTAAAGGGACCTTGGTCTCAGTATGACTCCCTGATAAAATAAAGGTGAAATAAATCAATACACATACAACACAGACTATCCTATGATGGATGCATACTGTATTATCTTGATTAATCTTCACAGGTACAGTGCATTCGGAAAGTATTCAGACCCCTTGACTTTTTCCATATTTTGTTATGTTACAGCCTTATTCTAAAATGGAATAAATAAATAAAAATCTCCATCAATCTACACACAATAGCCCATAACGATAAAAAAACTGTTGGCAGTGCACGTCAGAGCAAAAACCAAGCCATGAGGTCGAAGGAATTGTCCGTAGAGCTCCGAGACAGGATTGTGTCGAGGCAGAGATCTGGGGAAGTGAAGATCCCCAAGAACACAGTGGCCTCCATCATTCTTAAATGGAAGAAGTTTGGAACCACCAAGACTCTTCCTAGAGCTCGCCGCCCGGCCAAACTGAGCAATCGGGGGAGAAGGGCCTTGGTCAGGGAGGTGACCACGAACCCGATGGTCACTCTGACAGAGCTCCAGAGTTCCTCTGTGGAGATGGGAGAACCTTCCAGAAGGACAACCATCTCTGCAGCACTCCACCAATCAGGCATTTATGGTAGAGTGGCCAGATGGAAGCCACTCCTCAGTAAAAGGCACGACAGCCCGCTTGGAGTTTGCTAAAAGGCACCTAAAGGACTCTCAGACCATGAGAAACAAGATTCTCTGGTCTGATGAAACCAAGACTGAACTCTTTGGCCTGAATGCCAAGCGTCAAGTCTGGAGGAAACCTGGCACCATCCCTACGGTGAAGTATGCTGGTGGCAGCATCAGGCTGTGGGGATGTTTTTCAGTGGCAGGGACTGGGAGACTAGTCAGGATCGAGGGAAAGTTGAACAGAGCAAAGTACAGAGAGATCTTTGATGAAAACCTAATCCAGAGCGCTCAGGACCTCAGACTGGGGCGAAGGTTCACCTTCCAACAGGACAACGACCCTAAGCACACAGCCAAGACAACTCAGGAGTGGCTTCGGGACAAGTTTCTAAATGTCCTTGAGTGGCCCAGCCAGAGCCCGGACTTCAACCCGATCAAACATCTCTGGAGAGACCTGAAAATAGCTGTGCAGCGATGCTCCCCATCCAACCTGACAGAGCTTGAGAGGATCTGCAGAGAAGAATGGGAGAAACTCCCCAAATACAGGTGTGCCAAGCTTCTAGCATCATACCCAAGAAGACTCAAGGGTGTAATCGCTGCCAAAGGTGCTTCAACAAAGTACTGAGTAAAGGGTCTGAATACTTACGTAAATGTAATATTTCATTTTATTACTTTTTTTTATAAATTAGCAAAAACTTCTAAAAACCAGTTTTTGCTTTGTCATTATTGGGTATTGTGTGTAGATTGATGAGGGGAAAAAAACAATTTAATCAATTTTAGAGTAAGGCTGTAACGTAACAAAATGTGGAAAAAGTCAAGGGGTCTGAATACTTCCCGAATGCACTGTATGTTTCCAACATAGAATGGTTATAGTGTGATAAAATGCCTGCTGTGTAATATCTCCTCACACATGCATTCACTACGGTGAATATTCTCTAGTGTGAAATAGACTATCTTACCAAAAGAGGAAACACAGGTTTCCATTGGAAAACAGATGCTTAAACTGAATGGAACTTCCCGATTTAAATCAAGTTTATTTAAAAGACAGTTTCCTCTTCTTTGTCAGTCAAATCACACTCCCCATTAATTCCATTCAGGAAAAGAAGGTCTAGCTTAGTGACTGACTGATTCATCCCTCAGTGTGTGTGTGTGTGTGTGTGTGTGTGTGTGTGTGTGTGTGTGTGTGTGTGTTGTATGTGGTGGGTATGTGTTTGTGTGTGTGTCAACACAAACTGCTAACCAGGCCAAAGCCTCAGAGTGAAAACGACATTAAAACACCAAATACACAAGGCTCTGTGTGTGTGTGTGTGTGCCAAGCCAAGAGTTGAGAACAATGATGATGCTAGGGTTCTGAGAACCATTCCCTAACTGTTCCCATTGAAAAACAAAAGTAGGCTTCTGTCCACAAAGCACAGAGGCCCAATTCCAAACTGCTCCCTCAGTCCTCTCCCTCGGCCCCATTCCAAACCAATCCCTCCTTGTTGCCTACTCACCATGCTAGAGTGGACAGTAGCCTGCTCGATGTAGCGAGCTATCCCCGTCACAAACGCATTCCTGTCCTCAAAGTTGGTATCGAAATTGGCCTAGAGAGAAAGATAAAGACAGTTTAGTTTTTCTTGCAATGAATTTGAAAAGTCAGATGTGTGTGCGTACCTGGTACATGATGGATGAAGGCGGAGGTTCGATGCAGGGCTGCTGGTCAGGGAGGGGCAGCTCCTCCAACAGATCCACGTTAGACAGAGCATCCTCCAGGGTCACGTGGGTCGTCATGCCTACAAGAGCTCACTCACACAACCGGACAGTCTGACAGAGAGACACACAGAGACAGACAGACATTAAATGTCACTTTTATTTATCCATTTCACTTGCTTTGGCAATGTAAACATATGTTTCCCATGCCAATAAAGCCCATTGAATTGAGAGAGAGAGGCAAACCACAACCTGTCAGTAAAGAAGAGGACAAATTCCAATCTATAAAATCAGTAGATTCCTTCCACCAGGAGAACTGTCATACATTGTTTGGCATTCACTCTCATTTCCTCTTTAGGAACCACTTGCTACAGCACATATCTGTCTGTCTCTGTACTTGTGTGTCTATAACCTGTAGGTCTGTATGTCTGCTTCCCTGTCTATCTCAACACAGTGTGGGGGAGTGTGGGCACTGGGCATGGCATGTTTCCCTATTACAACTGATGTCGCCATGAAAAGACAATCGTGAGAAGAAGACATGTTCTAATGCTAGCCAACGCTGTCATTCTGAGGAAGAGGAGAGCAGCAGTAAATTGCCTGTGTTTAACTGTCTGTCAGACATGAGACTGCTGAATGTACGTAGCACACTGGTATGCATGATGGTATCATGTTCGGTCTGCTCTGCACTGAAATCAAACATGCTGAGTAGGCTAATTCACATGCAGACAGGTAGGTAATTAACACTTGATTAAAGATGGACAAAAATAGTGCAGAAAGGTACATCAAAATACATTATTGCTCTCTTGCACACAGAAGCCTTGTATACCGGACTGTTTAGAAGACCATAGACCCTTACTGCCAGTCTGGTCTGGGTTTGAGCAGGAACAGTGCGTCTAAATCCCAAATGCTACCCTATCCCCTACATAGTGCACTATATAGGAACTGGGGTGCCATTTTGGACGACAAACTGTGCCTCTCAAGAGTGTGTTTTTACCTCTGCTCTGACAGACAGGGGTTGACATGCCTGATAAACTGCTTAACCTCCTCCAGACAGAAGAATGAACAGTGGGGGAGTTGAAGGAGAGGTAAGTAGAACACAGTATGCAGCCACAGTACGAAGTAGAGCCACATACACAGTAGAAGTAGAAGAAACATTAGTACCACAGTGTAGTAAGGTAGAAACACAGTGACAGCTAGAGCACAGTCAGTAAGTAGAGCACAAGTAGTAGTTACTAGAGCACAGTACAGTAGTAAGTAAAGAAACCAGTAGAGCACAGTACAGTAAGTAGAGCACAGTTAGTAGTATACCGTAAGCCACAGTACAGTAAGTAGGCACAGTATTAGTAGCCACCGTACAGTAAGTAGAGCACAGTACAGTAAGTAGAACACAGTAGAGCAGAGTACAGTAGTAGAACACAGTACAGTAAGTAGAGCACAGTACAGTAAGTAGAGCACAGTAGAGCACAGTACAGTAAGTAGAGCACAGTACAGTAAGTAGAGCACAGTAGAGCACAGTACAGTAAGTAGAACACAGTAGAGTAAGTAGAGCACAGTACAGTAAGTAGAGCACAGTACAGTAAGTAGAGCACAGTAGAGCACAGTACAGTAAGTAGAGCACAGTACAGTAAGTAGAGCACAGTAGAGCACAGTACAGTAAGTAGAGCACAGTACAGTAAGTAGAGCACAGTAGAGTAAGTAGAGCACAGTAGAGCACAGTACAGTAAGTAGAGCACAGTACAGTAAGTAGAGCACAGTACAGTAAGTAGAAAAACAAATTAGAGCCCCAGTACAGTAAGGGAGGAGCACAGTAGAGCACAGTACAGTAAGTAGAGCACAGTACAGTAAGTAGAGCACAGTACAGTAAGTAGAGCACAGTAGAGTAAGTAGGGCACAGTACAGTAAGTAGAACACAGTAGAGCACAGTACAGTAAGTAGAGCACAGTAGAGCACAGTACAGTAAATAGAGCACAGTACAGTAAGTAGAGCACAGTAGAGCACAGTACAGTAAGTAGAGCACAGTAGAGCACAGTACAGTAAGTAGAACACAGTAGAGCACAGTACAGTAGTAGAACACAGTACAGTAAGTAGAGCCCCAGACAGTAAGTGAGCACAGTAGAGCACAGTACAGTAAATAGAGCACAGTACAGTAGTAGAACCAGTAAGCACAGTAAAAGTAAGTAGAACACAATAGGCACAGTACAGTAAGGTAGAACACATAAGCACAGTACAGTTAAGTAGAGCACAGAGCACGTACAGTAAGTAGAGACAGTAGAGTAGTAGAGCACAGTACAGTAAGTAGAGGGACAGGAGAGCACAGTACAGTAGTAGAGCACAGTAACAGTAAGTAGAAACCAAGTAGAGCCGTACAGTAAGTAGAGCACAGTAGAGCACAGTAAGTAGAGCACAGTACAGTAAGTAGAACACAGTAGAGCACAGTACAGTAAGTAGAACACAGTAGAGCACAGTACAGTAAGTAGAACACAGTAGAGCACAGTACAGTAAGTAGAGCACAGTAGAGCACAGTACAGTAAGTAGAGCTCAGTAGAGTAAGTAGAACACAGTTCAATACAATACAGTAGTAGAGTACAGTCCAACGACCCATTCATGTAGGGTGTGTTGTGTTGTATCTAATAGACAGACAGAGCAGTGGAGGTCTGGGACTCTACTACCTCTCAACTCCATCTGTTGCAGCAGGCCCGACTAGACTGAGTAAACTTTCCCACACACACACACAGCATTCCTACACTTTATGCTTGCACGACAAAGCTAGGGTCCACACTCCTAAATTAACTCAGGCTTATGCGTAACTCATGCATTAATAGATGTGGAAATCTGAATTACGCACAGATTGGCAAGAGATGGAAAAAGGAGGAGTGGGAGCGAGAGTAGAGTGAGTGTAGGAGGAGGAGGAGCAGTGAGTGTAGAAGGAGTAGTGGTCCCCTGTAGCTCAGCTGGTAGAGCATGGCGCTTGCAACGCCAGGGTTGTGGGTTCGTTTCCCACGGGGGTCCAGTATGAAAATGTATGCACTCAATAACTGTAAGTCGCTCTGGATAAAGCATGTGTTAAAGACTATAAAATGTGGAGTGTAGAGGAGCGCGAGGAAGAGAGCGAGTGTTGTAGGAAGAGGAGAGAGAGAGTGTAGTGTAGGTAAAGAGAAAGAGAGAGTGTAGGAAAGAAGAGAAAGAGAGAAGAGGAGGAAGAGGAGGGAAGAGAAGAGGAAGCGGAAGAGGAAGAGGAAGAGAAGAAGGAAAGAAAGGGATAGAGGAGATGATAGCGATAGGTAGATTGAGGGAAGGGATAGATTGATAGATAGATAGATAGATAGATAGATAGATAGATAGATAGATAGATAGATAGATAGATAGATAGATAGATAGATAGATAGATAGATAGATAGATAGATAGATAGATAGATAGATAGATAGATAGATAGATAGATAGATAGATAGATAGATAGATAGATGCCATGCTTTATCACCTCCAGCCCTGTACAGGATAAGCTAGTCTCTAATGAGAGCAGTGAGTAGAGAGAGAGATGTGTATGCATTCATTTATTTGTATTCCTTTGTGATATGCCTTCGGGAAGTATTCAGACCCTTTACTCAGTACTATGTTGAAGAACCTTTGGCAGCGATTACAGCATCGAGTCTTCTTGGGTATGACGCTACAAGCTTGGTAAATACACACCTGTATTTGGGGAGTTTCTCCCATTCTTCACTGCAGATCCTCTCAAGCTCAGGTTAGATGGGGAGCGTTGCTGCACAGCTATTTTCAGGTCTCTCCAGAGATGTTCGATCGGGTTCAAGTCCGGGCTCTGGCTTGGCCACTCAAGGACATTCAGACACTTGTCCCGAAGCCACTCCTGCGTTGTGTTGGCTGTGTGCTTAGGGTCGTTGTCCTGTTGGAAGCTTAACCGTCGCCGTAGTCTGAGGTCCTGAGTGCTCTGGAGCAGGTTTTCATCAAGGATCTCTCTGTACTTTGCTCTGTTCATCTTTGCCTCGATCCTGACTAGTCTCCCAGTGCCTGCCGCTGAAAGACATCCCCACAGCATGATGCTGCCACCACCATGCTTCACCGTAGGGATGGTGCCAGGTTTCCTCCAGACTTGACGCTTGGCATTCAGGACAAAGAGTTCAATCGTGGTTGTCAGACCAGATAATAGTTTTTCTCAAGGTCTGAGAGTCTTTAGGTGCCTTTTAGCAAACTCCAAGCGGGCTGTCATGTGCCTTTTACTGAGGAGTGGCTTCCTTCTGGCCACTCTACCATAAAGGCCTGATTGGTGGAGTGCTGTATTGATGGGTGTCCTTCTGGAAGGTTCTCCCATCTCCACAGAGGAACTCTAGAGCTCTGTCAGAGTGACCATCACGTTCTTGGTCACCTCCCTGACCAAGGACCTTCTCCCCCGATTGCTCAGTTTGGCCGGGCGGCCAGCTCTAGGAAGAGTCTTGGTGGTTCCAAACTTCTTCCATTTAAGAATGATGGAGGCCACTGTGTTCTTGGGGATCTTCAATTCTGCAGACATTTTTTGGTACCCTTCCCCAGATCTGTGCCTCGACACAATCCTGTCTCGGAGCTCTACGGACAATTCCTTCGACCTCATCGCTTGGTTTTTGCTCTGACATGCACCGTCAACTGTGGGACCTTATATAGACAGGTATGTGCGCGCCTTTTCAAATGATGTCCAATCAATTGAATTTACCACAGGTGAACTCCAATCAAGTTGTAGACATATCTCAAGGATGATCAATGGAAACAGGATGCACCTGAGCTCAATTTCAAGTCTCATAGCAAAGGGTCTGAATACTTATGTAAATAAGGTATTTCTGTTTTCGCTTTGTCATTATTGGGTATTATGTGTAGATTGATAAGAAACAAATTAATTTAATCAATTTCAGAATAAGGCTGTAACGTAACAAAATGTGGAAAAAGTCAAGGGGTCTGAATACTTTCCGAAGGCACTGTATGACTGCTTTTGAGAGTCAAGTGTAGATATCATGCAAATAAGGCAAATAAGGCAAATTAGAGGCAAAGGCAAAAAGGAAGTGCGATAACAAGAGAGAAAGGAGCGAGAGAAAGAAAG